ACTGGTGCATGGGGTTGTTCCTGTTAGCAGCCGTTAACTGGGGGGGGGTGGTGGTATTGAAAAGCAGCTTCTCCAATGGCTCGGCCAAAGCTGCCCATCCTGGCTGCCCTACCGTAATGTGAGAGCCTGACTCCACCTTGGTTTCTTCTGCGGCAAGTTCCAAGGCTTTCTGGGGGGAGATGAAAGGGATCTTTCTTCTCCAGGGGTGCTCTCCCATGGCGTGATCTCAAACACTGTGACCAGACCGCAGACCCACCTTCTGCCCGTCTTTTCAGATCTCAAATCTTTTTTTTCTTCATTCCCCTCTGGGGTCCCGACGGCGGACGGAGGCACGGGTGGCCTCGATTCCTCCCGGGCCCCCTGCGCGGGGACAAAAAGCCCCGGGTGCCAGTGGCCGTGTCCCAGGCGGGTGCGGAGAATGGCTCTTTGTTCCCTGTTTCTAATTACTGGGCCCAAGCAGCTCGTTAACCGCTCTGCCCCGAGCCCTCACGTCCCTGCAGCCACCGCTCGGGGTAAACCCCTGCGGGGACGTGCAGGGGCTCAGCCTCTGAGCGCGGATTTTGGGGTGACGTGTAAAACCGGATCAAAGCGAGCTTGAGGTGAAGCTGGTGGCACTGCTCATCTCTTGAAGCAGCCCGGGGTGGGCTCAGGGGGTGCCCTGAAAGGGGGGGTCATACGTGGCCAAAGCAGGCGTCCAGCAGCAGATATCCAGAGCTTCCCCTGCAAACTCCATCGCAGTCTAGTGAGGCCTCATCTGGAGCACTCTGTCCAGTGCTGGGCTCCCCAGTTCAAGAAAGATGAGGAGCTGCTGGAGAGAGTCCAGCGGAGGCCTGTGAGGATGATGAGGGGACTGGGCTGGGGTTGGACTGGGTGACCCACAGAGGTCCCTTCCAACCCCGACCATTCTGTGATTCTGTGATTCTGTGAAAAATAACCCGAAGGCAGAAGCCCCTTGGTTTTTTTGCGACCCAGGGGCTTTGGGAAGTGCTGGAGGATGCATGGTTTGCTCCGATCCCAAAGCATCACGCAGGAGGGTTCAGGGCTGGGGTCCTTCCCAGGGCACCGCGATTGCCCTGGGGCAGAGCGGAGCCCAGCCGTTCACCCCCGCTCTTGTACGTACAGATCTGGGAGCACAATCATTCCTTTGGGAAGCTTGATATGAATGATGCTGAAACACGTTTTGGACTCTTTCACGGAGGGAGCTTGCATTTGCATTTGAAAACTGCTGAGGAGCTGGTGGTGCTGGGG